TCTGACTGTTCTAACAAGGTCATCCACATACCTGAGGAACAATTTCACCTGGGGAGTATCCTTCTCCTTGTTCTTAGCTCGGCAGCAGCTTTCACAGTACCAGATTATCTCGGTTATTGATGCGTATACGTCATCGGATATTTTTCCGCATTTTAGATGATACCAGTTTCGGCAACTCTCGCATTCAACCCCCTTTGATCTATATGTGACTTTCCTGCTGCAACATGGGCACAAGCCGTTTTTGTCATTAATTCGCTGTATCTCCGTTCCGACCGGTATTTCTTGTCTTAGAGCAAACTCGTACTCTTTCGGCCATAAGTTTGCCAGAATTACATCGAGACACGCACCCATTGCTAAACCATCAACTTGTACATACCATGAACCATTACACTTGAAATATACTTTGCTGACCGCCATTTTCAAAAGCCTTTTCATGGTTGCTCTTTGAATTTCAGGAGGAGAATCTTGGCTGTACAGCTTCTGTAAAGCAATTTCAATTGCCTCCTTCAGGGGAACGTTGTTGTACAAACTTTTCACATCAAGAGATATTATGGTTTCATCCGGATCTAGAGCAATGTTTTCAATTGTTTCTCTGGCATCTTTAGTATTGGCTTCTATATTGACTCCATCGATGTTGTCAAAAAACTTTGGAAGCATTTTGTTCAGATTCTCGTACGAGCTGCCTAGAAGTGATAGTACTGGTCGTGGGGGTGTCTCAGCCTAGTGTACCTTAGCTAAACTGTACAAACGGGCGAATTGCCCCCCTGTTGACCTCATCTTAGAATATAACTGATCACTTATCTCGTCTCTTTTGTTCATGGCCAGTAATTCTTTGTTAAGTTCCTTCTCAACTTTCAGTATAACCTTATCAGTGGTTGCATCTTTTTTTTCACAAACTGAGCAGATTGCAACAAGGATTCCAGCTTTGATTCATACATTTGTTTCCTCATTATCCAAAAATCAACCCCCTTATCAAAAGGCACAGCCAGCAACCCGTTATCGTTGAGATATTTCCTCGTTTTTTCAACGGCTTTGTCTCTTAGGGTTTGCCTTACACTGAAAACTTAGTCCTAAAACATTTTTGGTTTTTTATTTAAAACGTGCATGTCTAAATCGAAACTATGACTCAGAAACTTCCAGAGAAATTATTTTAAAAAAAATTAATTAATTATTTTAATCTTAATAGTAATTTAGAGGTCAACTGTGGTTGGCTAATTTTTTAACATGATGGTTTAGAACCAAAGTGTATGTAAATTAATGTAAAGAAAATTTGTAAATTGATGTAAATTCAATGTACTCATCTGTTGTCGTCCCGGAAGAAGGTCTCTTATCCAGTTCAAGTTTCATCCAGTTGCTCCATATTGTCTAAGAACTCCGAACAATCTTTTGTGTGGTACCGAATCGAAGGCTTTCTTGAAGTCCAAGTATATCACGTTGACATTTTCATGTGTCTATTGCCCTGGTGAAGTCATCAAATACTTTTAGGAGTTGTAAGTTCAGTGAACGTTCAGATCGAAAACAGTATTGTGCATTTGCTAATAGCCGTTTTTCATAGAAATGATCCTTTAAATGCTTTCGAACAAATTTTCGAACAACTAGCAACATATTGATGTTAAACTGATTAGTCTATAATTATCTATCATAGATTTTTTACCTTTTTTGAATATTGCAGAAATGTTAGCTAACTTCCAGTCTTCGGGTATTGTGCTTGTCTCCCAAGACGTTTGAAAAATAATCAAAAGTGGTTTTAAGATGAATTCTCGTAATTCAAATAGGACGCTATGATGAATTCCATCTGGTTCAGGCGACTTTGAAGTGTCGAACCGATTTAGTTCTTCTCGGATGTCATTCATTGTAAGCTCCAGGTTGTCATCAATGCTGGCGGTTGGTGGAGGGCTGATCTCCCAGTTACCCGGTGGTTCGTCAGTGAAAACCGATGCAAAGAAGTTTGAGAGCTTTTCTGCCTTTTCGTCGTCTGTGTCAGTTAGCGAACCATTTGGTTTTATTAAAACTGGGATTGATTTTTGTATGGTAGGTTTTTGGCGCACGTAACTCCAGAACTTTTTTGGATTAATTTTAACTTCTCATGATATTTCTTTTTCACGTGTGAGTGCCTCCGATTGTGTTGCAGATCTATTTTCATTTTGTTTGATTTTATGTTTGGTTAAGTTTTCGGCTGTTTGATAAATTTTAAAAGTTTTCCAGGCTTTTTTTTCTTTTATCTTCATGCACACCGCCCTTGCTAGCGGCATTTGGTTGCCACTGTTGCGTATCTTAATTAAGGGCACGAATTTTTCGACTAATTCTTTCATGCAGTTTTTCTGTTTTTCCCATGTATTCAACTGAACCGTTGGGTCAGCTAGATGGTTTCTCATCCCGTGGTAGTCTCCCTTTTCATAGTTTCTCCGGTTTTTACATTTCGATTTAATCTTGTTTACTGGCACATCTATCTTGACAAGGACGTGGTCACTTTTTCCGATTGGCGCCTCTAACGTGATGTCTAGATCTTCTAGGACTATATCTGACATGACAACATCAAGCAGTGATGCCTTGTCTCTGCCAGTTAGCCTTGTAGGCTCTTTGATATGTTGTGTTAGTAGTGCGTATTTTATTGCCTCTATAAAGTTAAACTCAGTGCTATTTTCATCTTTTAATGTACTCATGGCCTCCCAATCTATCTGTGGTAGATTTGTGTCTCTCACTATTAGTATTGAGTCATTTGACTGTGTTTCGTTCAAATTGGCGATCAAATTTTTTAATTGGTGGTTATTTTCTTCAGTTGAGTGTGGACTTCTGTACAATACACCAAGGATGATGATGTTCCTGCCAATTTTAATTTTTAAAAACAAGTTTTCACAGAAAGAAGAATTATTTGTGTTCAATGAGTAGTCAATGTTTTCATTATTTTGAACTAAAAATCCACGTCCTTGATCAGATGGGTTCATATTTATTGATTCTATAATATAGTATTGGTTTTTATGCCATACTGGATTCCATTCTGCGCGAAAATTTTTCGGTTTGCCTTCCACTAGAGCGATGACATCAGGCTTGCATTTTTCTTGATTCATTCTCCACGTAATTTCGTGCAGTTTGTCCTGAGTTAATGTGTCTATATTTGTGTACCAGATTAATAAAAACCGGTTTGAGGTTTTTTCCTCTTTCTCATTTTTTGCAACCACCTCACAATGTGCACGTAGTCTCCTTGTTCCTTTTCTTTTAAGTTTTTTGCCTTTGCTATCAATCTTCTGACTTCATCTCATTCCTTGACACTCCTGTCTGGGCCAATCGGCAGGTTTTTGACTTTGTATTCGGCATCTTCTAATTTATTTAAATTTTTCAGTGTCTCGCTTACATCTCTATCGTTATCAAAGGATACTAGCAGTGGTCTGTTTGTCGTGGCTTCATCATTCTTCTTCCCAAGTCGGTCAAAACTTATGGCTGTTTTGTTTCCCATTTTGAACGAAGCTAGAAATGTTTCTATCAGTTGTTTGTCTTCTACCGTTCTGTTATGTCCATCTTGGTGTGTACTCTCAGGTGCTTTGTAAATTATCAAGTTCTTTTTTCTTCTTTTGTCGGCTTCTTCTTTTCTTTTTGCTCTTCAGATGTTTCCATTATAATTTCTTTTAGTGGCTTGACTTTCGGTTGTTGGGCCACGTCCCATGGTTTCTGTTCAGATTGATTCACGTCTTTTGGTCCTGCTACAAACTTGTAGAAGTCGTTAATCATGTGGTTTAGGTTCGCTCTTGTGTTGTCCAGATCACTCCGTAGTGTATCCGGTTCTGGATTTTTGTCAGCTTCAGTTAGAAGTTTCACCTTCGGTGTGCAGGAAATGCAACACTAGTCGACTTCTAGTTGACACAATTAATCGTAGACTTGGTCAGGCATATTTATGCATGTTGTACAAAGGTGCTCATGACGCTTATCATACTCCATTACTTTATCATCGATGTTACCATAGGTCTTATTGCACGTTTTACATTGCCAAGCGTCCATTTCACTCACAGATTCAGTACCTTCACGTCTAGTTTTTGGTTTTGGAGGCATATTAAGTTTGATTTTATCAGGCCGCTCTAAGACACTTAAGTCCCAAGAAGCTACGTAATGAAATCAACTTCACAAAAATTACTGGGCCGCTCTAAGAAACTGAAGTCTCAAGAAGCTACCCCGTAATTTCTCCTTCAAAACCACTAAGCTCTTATCTGATTATTACTGGGCCGCTCTAAGACAATTAAGTCCCAAGAAGCTACCCTTGGAATTTCAGAAAAAGCTTCTTACTTTTTATTTTTTGCTTTTATTTTTCTGCCTTCGCTTCGAAGTTGACTGTTTCTTTGACTTCTTCGTAGCAGACTTTGACCGTTTCTTCAGGACTAATTTTTTCAAGTTGTTTCTACTTCTGTAGATTTTTCTGATTAGTCTCTCTTCAAGGATCGAAGATCGGTGAATTTGCCTCGAATCTCGCAAGTTTTGTTGTTCTGTCTCTTTCTTGTGGATAATAACTTTTTTTACTGGGATAATGAGGATGTCCAATGTTCTCAATCTTTTTAGTATGTCTGTGGTTTTCGTTCGTTTTGTGTATACTATTGCTGCGATCCGGTGACGCAGTCCGTGGAGATTCGAAAGCAGTAGTTCTACTGAACAATGTTTCCAACTATTGCTGTGGTGGGGGGGGGGGGCACAGTATTGTTGATCAAGTCGTGCCACAGAATAAATTTGTCTTCGTTTTCCTGGATTGACTGGTAGTTCTATTTTGTAGCAGAGTTGATGCTCAATCCTCCTACTGATGTCTGGATGGGGAATATTTTTCGTTGCAAATTTCTAAGGGATGGGTCGATAGCCGCACGAAAAGAGTTTGCTCCAACAAAGTGCACCATAAGTCTTCAACTGCAACACCTAGAGCAGCAGGACTTTGCTATTTTTCCGTTCAATAATGCGATTTTAGATTTAGCTCTAGGACATATATCTGAAAAAAAACACAGTTTGTATACGGGGAAAGGAAATCTATTTAATAAGTTTATCACAACAATTAGGACGATATTTTGTGGAAATGTTTTTTACAATATCTTCGGTCTCGTCACTTTAACTCTCATTAACTTTGTCTTCGGTCTCATTATCACGGCCGTCTGCTTTGTTCTTATCTGTTTTTCTGTTGGTTGAAGATGTAACTGCTGGGTTCTCGGTCGGTGAAAGCTGCATAATTCTCGTCTTATAAAAATCATAATCATAATAAAAAAAGGGTTTAGGATCATAATCAAGGGTTCGCGTAAATTCCAGTTATTGAGCTGTTCAAAGTTTAGTTTTCAGTTATAGGTGTAAGTTTCGTCAGGTCTGTACAAATGCTGCAATCGCATAAATTGCGTCAAGTGCAAGTATCTTGTTCGTTGTAGCGTATTTTGAAAAATTTCGTGCATATTTCTAGAAGTCTGTTTTTGCATTATGGGTCAAACAATAAGTCATATTTGAAGTATCTGTTGTAAAGATTAGCAAGACGACATGCCCGAAACCCCTAATCCGACTCGTCCTTCTTCAGACGCATTCGCTAGCAGACGAAATTTCGTGTCAATTGAGTTCTTCGGTTTCCAACGTCAGTAATGTTTACATGGCTTCTCCAGTCGATGTCAACTTTTCCACCAAGTAGTGTTTCAAACAGCAGTCTAACATGAAGTTCTTGAAGTAGAGACAGAAGAAGGATATTTAGTTTTACGAGTTTATTTTTGTAGGAGATTTGGCTACTGCTTGTCATAAAAATCCACAAGATCACTTTCCGCTGGACACTTTATATGATTCCTATGTCATCTTCTGATGAATTCCAGATAGTTGAACTGTAGCACAGAATTGGTAACAGATATATGCGTTTATTTTGGTCGCAAAATATGCAATTGAGAGGTTCCTTTTGAGTACGAAGAGAGCGTTTAAGACTTTTTCAACCCTCTTTTTTGCGTATTGCGTCCAAGAGAGCGTGCCGGTTATCAATCCTTTTCGTCAGGTTCGATTGCGCTACGATTGCGCTCCCCAACTACAGGATCAGCTACGGTTGCGCTCCCCAACTGCAGTTTCATAACCACTGAAGTAATGAAAGATCAGGGCATCCTGATAACCGGCACGCTCTCTTGGACGCAATACGCAAAAAAGAGGGCTGAAAAAGTCTTAAACGCTGCTAATTGACATGCAGTTTTCCTCACACCACCTCTACAGTCTCCTAACATCTATGTTGAGAGTTAAATGGTTGTCTCTAACAATTTTGTAGTCTTCTGCATAACCAAATGTTGCGGAAATGACACATGACGGTAGATCGTTTATGAAAACTAGGAAGAGAAGCGGCCCGAGTATAGAGCCCTGGGAAACGCCGCTGAAGACTTCCAGCTCTCCCGAAATTGTATCATTCAGTCTCACTGCTTGCTCCCCGTTCGAGAGGTAGCTGTGTATCAGAGACAAACAATTTCCTCCAATTCCATTCCAGTCGATAATTTCTCCATGAGGAATTTCTCCATGAGTATCTCGTGTAGATACTCTATTAGGTTTGTTATCGTCAATCTTTTAGGTCTAAAACCGTGTTGGTCTGGTGTTAGGATTGAGTCGACAATTGGAGCTAGTTTCTCAAATATTAGTTTCTCAAGCAGCACTTTTGACACTGCTGAGAGCAGGCTGGTCGGCCTGTAATTTGAAACGGCTATTTACCCCCGTCTTTGAAACTTGGTGCGATTTCGCTGATCTTCCATTTTGATGGAACTATCGCTTTATTTGCAATCAAGTTGAACAGTGAGTGAAGTGATTTTGGTAGTGACTTTGAGAGGTTTTTCAGAAGAGCATTACCAATTTTGTCTGGTCCATTGGCCTTATTTATGTCCAGCTTGTTTAGGGCATCTTCTATTTCATCGATAGTGAAATTGATACTTTTCAGAAGCTCGTTGTCTTATTGTTCTGTTTTCTCAAGGCTGGCGTTTTGTGTGAAAACTGATTGGAAAAATATGTTAAGCAATTCAGCTTTTTGAGCGTCTGTTTTGGCTATTTTTGATCTAGGAAGATCTCTGAAGTGATCGCACTAGACTTTGTGATCAATTTCAGGTATCGTTGAATTTCGCATCATTGTTCTAGCATCAATTCAACGCTGCTCAAGCAATATGGTTGGAAGGGGTTTTGACGAATGAATTAATTCATTTCTTCCCATCTAGTTTTTGTTTGATGGCTGGTGTCTTTTAATGAACAGGTCGGTAGTCAAATGAGACTTTGGCATGGAGTGGCAAATGGCCGAACTGAATAGACTTCTCAGATGGTTGTCAAGTCTTACGCTGGTGAAAAAATGCGGTTTGTTACTAGGGAGAGCGTCTAGTGATTTTCCATCAGGAGTTTTTTTAGTTGTTGGAAAATTGGATCACATAGTTCGCGGAGGGTTGACTGCTCTTCTAGAGAAGTTAAATTCATTGACGGCAGTGTGTACAGTAAAACTTATATCTCCATTTACATAGGAACAAATAGGACTTTGTTTAAATCGCTTAAGCCTCAGGCGTTTTAGGAATTCAACTAGATCTGAGATCCCATGTGTAGGTATTGTTTGAGCAAGGGATGTAGATGCAGCATAATATAATCGGCTTGTTCATGGATATGCGGATATAACACAGTCTTAAAACGCGGAATTGATTTGGCTACTTGGAATGTTACGGTTTACTGCTATAAGTACGCCACCATGTTTTGTCAAACTTTTATCACTCGGTCTGACATTTTGGTGGATAACGTAATTTGTCAGAAAAAATTGCATCGTCGCCGATGCTTTCTGTCAACCAGGTTTCAGTTAGGCAGTTGACTTGATAAACGCTTTTTTACTAGGACAGCATTAGAGAAGGTTGTCCGCCGTTGATAATCAATTATACTTCTGACATTGTAAACAAGGCTATTTATCGTCGCTGCTAGTCAATTGGGAGCTTCGGGTTCGGGGAGTTTCTTTATTATCCCCTTTCCACTTCTCCGAATAAACAGAGTTGCATCGCGGACTCTTAGGTCCTTTCTGTCCACAGATTTGTCGATGATAAGTTGCCTTCTTCTGACGAAAGCAATGTTTTCTAGATCAGCTTCTTCCTTCGTCAGTTGTCAGCTGAGGAAAATTGGTTGAAGGGAATTTTTTAGCTTCTTCGCAGACAGCAAGATCATTCTTCGTTGGTGTCCATTGGGAACTTTTAGGGATTCTTCTTGTCTTGTTCTTGTCATATAGACCCAGGCGTTTGATATCGCCAATTAAGGCATTGACATGCATATGGGTCAAAACTTTTTGAACTCCGGCGAGGTCGTGTTCTTGGCGCAATCTTGCTTCATTCTCCGTTGAATCTGGGAATCCTCGTATGCGAATGCCATCGAGTTCCTCGGCGCGTTTCGGTGGCAGTTCTTGGCGACTGGCAATCAAGTTAGGTTGAAATGGATGATCTGAATCAGATTTTTTTGTGGTAAGCAGCGTTTTGATTTCGGTCACTGTTTTTGTGAGGTCAATCATTTTGTTTTCCAGTGTTTTCATTTGAGTTTCTTGAAATTCTTTCGAGGTTGTAATTTCTTGGGCAGCTTGAGTCAACTTATCTTGACGTTTTTCTTCGACGCAATTGTTGCATATCAACTGAGCATTTTTTCCTCCGGCTGTTTGGAATACTCCTAAGGGTCGCGATGTTTGGGGTATGTCACCTTTTTTGGGTGCGATGTTATTGTGTTGTTTTTTAAATTGAGCCAGAGAACAAGTTTGCAGTTCCCAAGAGGGGCTGATGTTGGGTAATCGAGGCAATAATTTGATGTGCTAGTGTCAAGATTCAGGCCAGGGAAAGTGCGAACAGAATCAGCAAACTTATCTTGTTACCATTGTTCTAGTTTATTGATGGAATGGTAAGAGAGAACTAGCAGCTACAATTTTGATCATAAGGGGCAGAGACTAAGGAAAACAATTAAATAAACAAATTTCTAAGAACTCTTTGTAAGAACAAATTTTTAAGAGCTGATTGGGAAATGGGATGGTGAACACAGCAAGTCGGGAGCCGTCCAGTGTAGTTCCACCAAAAGTCCAGTGATAGGTAATCCATATGATATCGTCGTGATCAAACTTCTCAGCAATTCAATATTGACTATTGGGGCCACCACGGCTGCCCCTTGTATTCATATTTTAACTAAAACTATTTCATAATATGACCTCTGATAACTGCTTCTCCGTGTCTGATGTACACTATTGGTCCGTCTTTTCCCACAACAGATCCTGGACCTCGCCATTTTTTATCTCGAAGATAAAATACTTTGGATCCAATCAAAAAAAAGGATTATCAAATTGACGGTATTCATCCTCAAGGCATGCTGAATTTTCTCACTGGACTCAGATGCAACAAAGGCGACCCTCGCTTTGTGTGAAGCGGTCAAGTGACGTCGAACATACTTACTCGAACAATCTGGTGTTCGAGTGAGTATGTTCGACGTCAACTGACCGCTTTACACAAGGCGAGAGACATTGCTACATCGTGCTACCAATGATAAAACGTATGAAGATAAAAAACTGTATTGAAACCCACCAGCTGATATGCTACAGTACTGCAAACATACACATTGAAAAAGATATCGACCTAACAAGAATACAACAACAAAACGAGATCAACAATTTTGACCATAATATCCAATCTGGAATAAACTCATTGAGACTCATTTTCGTACTGATGCCGACATCTTCTTTTCAGATCTCTAACAGCGGAATATCGCCGAGGAAAGTCTTAGTAAAATTGAATCCGCGGCAACAGTCTGCAGTAAGTGGGTAAAAAGAAACTAGAAAAGGCAATAGCGTATCTCAAGCGCATTGGACAAGGGTCAATTTCTGTAAAATCATGAAAGCAAATTTTGAATCCAAACCCCTGTGGTTGCGTGATCTGACTCAACTCATCGAAAACTAGCAATGACTTATTCAAAAGTACTAAAAGCTTGAAAAATATATCAGAGTAAAGAACAACTGGCAAGGAAAGAAAAGGAAAAAATTTGTGGGAAAATCTACTTTTGGTAAGAATCTCTGAAATTA